ATAAATTAATTAAAATTGATCACTTAACAAAATGTTTGGTTACAATAACCTAGCTCGTAAAGTTGCATGCGGGCGCTCTATAAATTTGACTATTTCACAGAGAAAAGAAAGCAGGACTAGTACTTGTTTTCTAGTGGAAATTAATGAATAGGACAGTGGATTGATTTGGATGCCTACGAATTTTTCTAAAAAGTTTGAACAAACAAACGAAGAAAAAGGAACATTTGATTCCCATGAGACATGATGAAAATGCGAGACATGATGAAAATGCTAGCTGTGAACTCCCCTTTTTTTTTTCCTTTTCGGTTTGAAACTTTTTTTTCCTTTTCGGTTTGAAACTTTTTGCTCGTTTTCTAGATTTTTTTAACATTTAAACTCTGTTCGTTTTATTTGTTGCGTAAAGCTTATAGGTAATAATTAATATTTAGTTATCAATAGTGTTGAAGTCTAAAAAATAAAAAATATCAATTATTAAATATTCACTATTAATTATAATAATAATGATTGGTACATGTTAATTTTAGTTTAATACAGTTTATAACATTTATCGATTCAGTTATTAAATTCTTTAATTTTTAGATTTTCCACTTTTGATTCAAATTTAAGACAAATAATAACAATTTCCTAATGAATGTGTTATGAGATATGTTAGACTAAAAGACACACCACTCATTTTCTTAATTAAATAGTTGAAAACAGTTAAATCAAATAGAATGTTTAAGGACTTATAAGTTTTAAGTTTTAAGAAGTTACCTTGCCTATCAAATCAAAACCCTAGCTGCCTCCTCTCTTTCTCTTCTTCTCTCGCCCTCATCCCCTCCCTCATCTTTTGATTTCTTTTAAATCCTAACCACGACTTATATTTCCCTCAATAGTTAGAGAGAATGAACAAAGGTGGAATTGTCTCTCTCTGTTTGAGGGTTTTCTCATAAAGAGGTTTTAACACCATCTTTTGAGAGTTTTTATCTATTGTTTATTGATATATCTTATTGAATTTTACCCAAAGTAGAGAATGAAGATAGTGTAGATCTGAGGTTGGATGGGCTTGATTTGATTGTAACATTTTTTTCATTTATTGATAACATAGTTAGGGATTGGAGTTCTTGGCTCATCTTAAGCCCCAAAAATTGCAATTGTATGCTAAAAAAGGGTAATGTGATAGGTGTGGTTACTAGAAACGATAGGAAAGAGTGAAGGTAACCTTTCTTTGTGTTACATAGTCCTATTGATATCCTATGACAATTTTTGATAGTTGGAGGCTCCTTGTACCACTTAATTATTCATACATGTCATAAGCACTAACTCTTTGTTTTAGTGCTATAGGATTTTTCTAGAGTTTTACTTTTTCTCTATTTAGACTATATGAGAAGAGCATGGCTTGAATTAGGGGTGGGCGTTTGGTTGGGTAACCGAATGGTTACCCAGAAATTGAACTGAAAAAATGAATTATGTTTAGTTTTAATGGTTTTTGGGTGTTATTGTTTCGGTTTTAATATTAATCGAATAAATTTGGTTTGATTTTGGTTTAAGTTTTTACAAACCAAAAACCAAAAAGAGCCACCTAAAAACCAAAATTTGGTTAAATATGACAAAATATAATAAAATATTACATGAAATATAATCTATTATTGGAAAAAAAAAAAACTAATTAATGTTTATTTGGTTAAAACCGAAACCAAACCAATTTTATTAATAACCAAATCAATTGGTTTTTTAAAATTTTGGTTCGGTTTCAATTCTCAAAATTAAAGAAAATTTTTTTTGGTTAATTCAAAATTGGTTTCGATTTTAACCGAGACCGGTTTTTGCCCACCCCTAGCTTGAATTATATGTATTTTGATTTTTTTTGTTCTATCAAAAGAAAAACCAAAAAAAAAAAAAAAAAAAAGTTACCCTGCCAAGCGTGCTCTTTGTTTCGGTGCTAAAAAGAGATTTTGAATCTCGGGCTTTTTCCTAGACTCTAAATACTCCTTTTCCATCAAGAAACAACTTTGATTTGCCACAAAAAACTTTATTCTTTTTCTACCTTGATCATAAAGCGAGAAAGTAGAACAAAAGGCTGGTTCATCTCCTTATGGTGGTAACTTTATCAGAGTCAAACACAAATTTCATTCATCAGACAAGGAAGCCCTATTATATGGAAGACAGCTTCTGATGTCAAAAAAAAAAAAAAAAAAAAGGAAAAAAGGAAAGGAAGACAGGTTCTTATATTATATTCTTAAAACAAACACAGTAATTTTGATGCGCCTTTTTATGGTAGAGGAAAATGAAAATCAAGATTACTTGACGTTATTTGTGAATATTTTTAAATATTTGTAATAAATTTTTATCAAGTATTGATTATTTACTTAATTAATCTTTATATTATAATTCTTGATATTTAATTATCAACCGATTTTCCACAACCCTTACATATGTATATCAGCTGCATATTTTCAATTGAGCCTTCTTGACAAGTACCATCAAAAGGTAGCGTTTGTTTAGTTGATTAATTCAATAAACATTGATCGAAAGCATTCCTGTGATGAAAAAGCTGAACTATTAATTACCCTATTATTATTAAAGGCATTGATACCAAATTTTCTGCAGCTTTATACCTAAGCATGAAACAAGAGGGCAGTGGAAAACGAGAAAGGGAGCATATATCTTTGATCCAACCCTCATTAAATTTAAATTATCCAAACAGACCCACAAATATCTAAGCATGAATTTCAAAAAAAGAATAATAAAGTTTGAATCTACACCAACTATTAAATTTGTTAACAAGGAAAAACTGATCTAATTAGTACTTTCTCTTGACCAAAATTTGATTTTATTGTTAACATTTACTTTAATGTAGGATTTAAATTTGACCTTAGTTACAATAACCACAACTACCTTAAACCACCATACCAAACAAGTTACGACTAGTTTTATCTCAGAGTAAGCATAGAAGTAACTCAAACTCGCACCCTTATACTTCATGTTGGTGAATTGAGAAACCATTGTCTTATCTTGATGAGTTACCCTATAAGGTCTTGATCAGTAACTTTTCACGAACTAGTAGGGTTTTTTTTTTCAAAGTTTGGTTAATATATAATATTACCAGTATCTGCTAGCTGTGAACACAATAAAGGGTTATAATTCAAAGTGCAAAAGGCTGAGGTAAATTCCATTGTTTGACAGAAACATGGGTGCATTTGAGAAACAACAAACAAACAAATTTGTCTTCACTCCTATGCAATACATACTTTCTTTTTACAAGAAAGCCAACAAATATACATTATATATATACCAATCGATTCACAATTCACAACCCCCAATACATTATTCTCTCATTTCTGTGTGATTCCTGAGTTCTATATATGATTCCTCTCTCTGTGTTCTCTTATCCCTTACAAATATGCCTGTTTGGCCTGCCAAATTCCTATCTTTAACTAAACCCAATAAAGCATATTCTTCTTACTCCTTATACAGTCCACAAACAGCCTTTTGCTGGACACAATACTAAATTAATTAACATTCATCATTCTTTAATCACTGATAATTAGTTTAATTTCCCTGCCCCATTGAAAATAGCATCAAAAACTTCAAAAAATTGATATTTCATTTTTTTAGGTCATATAATTTTGTATTATTATAATACTCACTTTGTCTAAATTTTAGTACTTAGTTGCAATTAATAGTTAAAACTAAAACAAATGAAAATTTGTAATTACAACTAATTTGTTTCAAAATTTAGAACTAGAAACGAGTCAACTCATAAGTGTCAAATTCTAAAACGGGTGCTTAATCATTTAATAAAGTATACAAATGATATTAGTATGCATATTCTAAGATGTGTGGAAAGGAATTTGAAAAACAAATATGTTGGTAAGTATATTTTAAGGACGCGTGGAAAGGGGTTTGAAAATGGAAGACTATGCTGTTGTATGGTACATAGAGAGAAAAAAAAAAAAAGGAGAGAGAGAATGTTGGGAGAGTTTCTTTTTCTTGGGGTCGAAGAGCTGGACCAGCTGGTGATGACATGAAAAGCTACAGCACCTTGGGTTAATTCAGTTATAAAGAGATAGAGAGAGAGAGAGAATAATATGTTGGAATTTTGTTCGTTCATATTCAACGGGCAGCACCCAACAGCAATCATCATGCCCTCTTCCTCCTACTCCTCCTCCCCTCTGACTCTTCATCCCTATCATCATTACCCCCTCATGATCACCACCACCACCACCACCATCACTTCCTCTGCCCCTCCCCTTTTCATCAACATCCACCATCTTCACATCCCAAGACCAAAAAAACCACAAAAGGAACAACAAGATCAAGAGGAAGAAGAAGAAGAAGAAGAAGAAGCATCTGGGCTCTGGTGTTTGGTTAAGAGAAAACCCTAGCTAGAATCTCTCATGAATATGGCTAGCTGATGGTGTGAAAGGTCTTTTTCTTCAAAGGATCAAACACCTGCAGCACCATAGACGGGGAATCAAGCGTCTCGGTCCGATTGCTCGCTAGATCAACCAAAATCATACATGTTCTATGCAAGTTTTGTCTACCTAGTCGGTTAATTAATTTTCTTTTCATTTTGATATCATTCAGTGAATGTTTATATCTTTGTTTTGCACATGCGTTGATCTAATGGTTTTAAGTACTGTATGTTTAGGTCATTTATATAACAAGAAAAAGAACATGATGATGAGCTTAATACTATATATGTGTGTTTTGTTTGTTAATGAACTAACGTTCTGAAATCTCCAAAACTCTCTCAGATTCTTGATTCTTATAATATTATTATATTGTGTGATTAATTACGGTATGATAGTGAACCAAACCTAGGGTTTTCCTTTCTCATTTCTCTCATCATTTTCATTTAGTTTTTAACATGGTTAAATCTTCAAGAGATAATCAAAACAGATTTTCAGATCCATGTATATATGCTCTAGCTTTAGATACATAAACAAAATTTCAATAGACATGATAGGAGCTTTTGAAATCTTGAGGTTCATATATATTCGAGTCATGTCTTGTCCAATTTTAGTCCAATTCATTAATTATTCAAATCTTAAAGGGATAATAAATCTAGATTTTCAGATCCATTTATATGCTCTTGCTTTAGATACATAAACAAAATTTCAATGGATATGAGAGCGGCTTTGAAATATTGAGGTTTTATTTTTGAGTCAAGTCTTGTAAAATTTTAGTCCAATTCATTATTCATGTAAGTAACTCTTTCTAACGGTAAATGAAGGATTAACATTTATAATACTAAACAATTAACTTTTAGTATATAGCCTTCTAAGAAAAAAAGAACAACTTTGTCCAACATTAGGTGATTTAGTGACCACTCTTTTGATGGAAAGTGTTAAGACGTAAAGTCTTGGATTCATTATCAAAGCACTACTCTTCATCCCAAAAAATTCTCCTAAGTTCAAAAAAAAAAAAAAAAAAAACTTTCAATATATCAAAAAATAATTTTTTAAGGTACTAATGATAAAAGTAACAACTTAAATTTGTACTCAAAGAGTTGTAATTTAGTTGGTAAAATGGTTTGCTTTTCACTTTATTAATTAAGATTCAATTTTTTAAGAAGATCTATAGAGAAATCATTTCTTATGAATTCTTTAATTCTAGCAAGCGTGAATAACCCTACATTTAACTAGATTGAAGAGGAATTAATCTCGAATTGTATGTAAACGGATCTAAGGATACTTTAACCATTAAATAAAAAAAAACTTAAATTTGTTATAAAAAAAAAAAAAGACCATAGTAGCAACACTCGTCAACTACACTTACCAATGTACACTCAGCATTTTGGTTCCCGTTTAATTTCTTACAATACATTGTGTAATTAGAATTTTTCTTTTCTTTTTTTGAAAATAGGAAATTTGGGATGGGCAAAGGCAGGGTGTACCCCCAGAGTTCGAACTTCGAAGCCAGCCACAAGATGTGAAAACTGGGCCGCACTTCCAACTGGCCTATAACGATCCAGCACGTAATTAGAAAAAGTTGTATCCCAAAATAGCCCAGTTTTTTTATAGCCCAACTTTAAAAGTTTTGATCTTAAGATTTCAAACCCAATTTGGTTTTGATTTACGGCAAATACAAAATGTAGAACTTTTTCCACAGCCTCCCATTGAGTTACCCTCAATTCCTCTGATTTTCCTGTTTTTGCAAGATGATATCATCATGAAGACCTAATTAGAACTTTTAATTAATTATTGTGGTAACTCAATTCAACACCAATTAGAACACCTTATTAATTTTGTATTTGTTATTGTTTATAATTCAAATATTGACTGTTATCTATTATTTGTGAATAAATCAAACTGACCAAATAAATGTAGAGTTCTTATACAAAGGAAATTAGGAATAACATATTTTTACACTTCAAATTCTGTTTAGAAGAATGGTATTAGATCATAAGATTCACAACACAACACAACCAATTCCACCCGGTTTTCTTCAACAATTTTGGAGCTTCTGTCTTTGAAATTGTTCACCGCGCAGCAATTGATTTCTTCAGCAAGCAACAAAGATGACAATTTCGACACCAATCAGCTCTTCAGATGCTTCAATAGATGAATTTCACCTGCCAAACAGGGTCACTTCGACCCTCAATCCAACTTATGATGCATCATCTCTTGTCACCACTGGTTAGTACATAGAACCTCAATTTTTTTCTTGTACTTTCTTCTAATATAAATAATTGAATATGCCTGCATATATAGTCCATACCTTCGGATGTTTCTTGTTTAACCAATTGCTTACGTTTTTGGATGAGCAGCAGGCAGGAACAAGAAATCTCTTCGGAACATGAAATCTTTACGGAACATGAAATCATCATCAGTGGATTGGGAATGGCTGCCAAAGAACATTCTCGATTTAATTCATGATAAATTGGTTTATCTTGTTGATTATATCTATTTTGGTGCTGTATGCAAGGAATGGCATTCTGTTGCACA